GATAAAATTACTTCGGAATAGTCTCTTTATAGTGATCGTAAACTCAAGCGGCTAATAATCGTGCGAGAAAAAGAACCGATAAAATAAGGTCGTTTCCCTCAATATCGATGTCGATGGTAATTTTCTCTCCCACTTATTGTCGCCTTCGGTTTCACTCCTCAACAGAGTCAAGCAGGAAGACAAGAACGTCGACATGGGAGACAAGTTATCCGCAAGTTAAACGGAGAACCGCTTGTGAGTCTCGCCTGCGCTAATCCCGGCATTGTGTTACTTTCGTCTAGGATCGTTAACATCGGGGTAGCCCGCACGTAGCATATTTATGCTATCACGAAATCCGAGATACAATGCGAGGCGATCGGGTTACGCCACGCTGCCTTGTGTGCACGCTTATGATTCTCGCTAAGGCTTCTTATGGTCGTATGACGTACGACAACGCGTTTGTAGCAAGCAACCGCGGCTTTATCAACTTACGTACTGAATCCTTGATGTAACATTTAACGCAGTCGCATTGCAAACAATCGACTGTCTCCGACGTCAAAGCGTACATATACATCGCATAAGCACTGGCGGATTTAATTAGCGAAAGAGAGGTAGAGAGACAGAAGAGAACCGCCATTCCGATTGCTGCAATCATTTTTGGAACGCCGAAATTAAAGGCCTTCATGGTACAAATCGCAAATTTACAATTCCACACGAGACAAAGCGAGCTAAAATGACCAAATAAAATTTGCCAACAATTTAATCATCGTGCATCACGTAGAACAATGTAAAATAATGAAAATATATGGAGTATACGAGATGTAAAATTTTCTCTCAAAAATAAACGGATTTCTTGATGAATCGTTGATCAACGCCGATTCGATTTTTGTTATCGTACAGGAAAGAAAAACTTCATCAATGTTCAGTTATGATTCGATATTTAGCCTCGAGTATCTATACGGACTGTAACTAATATGAGAGAGTGAACCGTTGATACAACGAAATTATTTCTACTCGTATTATTAAAAGAAGCATACTTATACAGAATCAGATATATACTCTTTAATTGTGATTAGAGGGACCGACGGTGTCAGTGAGGTGTACCGATGTATGTCGATGAGGAATCCGAAACAATCATTGATACACAAGCGTTATCAGAGCATACAAACCGCATATGGTTACATAATATACATACGCCCAAGCATTCCTCCGCTCTCACTCAATTTTAAAGAACGGATATGCGGCATTTGCACGGATGAGATAGTTCGAATTCAATTGCATTGACATTTACGTGCGCGTAAATAATTTAACTAAATGAAGCACAAATTAATAGTAAATTATTTCTCGCAAGCTGCACGTCGCCGCAGCACCCAATGTTTCTATACGATCTAACCATATATCCAATATATCGAATCGCTTCGAGCGTTTACGAACACGCAGTCTGCGATTCCACATAAAGTCCCGCATGGTCTGTAACTCTATCCGATGAGTTACGTATAAATTATCACGAGAACGCAAATATCGTAGCTCTCCTTTATGTAAGTACCTACTGCGCAAGATATTCGTACACGCTAATTAGATTACATCGTAAAATATTGGATTACTAGGTTGTGTGACTTTTATAACGTATTAGCATGTAAAAGTTGCAGAAAATGGATTTCTTGAATGAAAGGTTAAAGAAATTATAGAGCGGCACGCCTACGAATCATATTATTTTTCCGATTAGTTAGTATTTATGGTCTTATCTTTGTTACGCCATATTACTCGACAATGTCTCGTGAGTCACGTCTTGTTTCACAAAGGGCACTGTATAATACGAACCATTTATGTCGAAGACATTCTCCGAACTTGCTGAAGAAGAGTCTTCACACATAATCGACCTATCCTTGACTCCAGCGATCAATATCTATTATCAATATTCAATTAGTAAACGGTATTATTAATGTTATTCATCGGAAAACCGTCAATGTGAAGAGTACTGACACAAATAAAAATAGTTTTCACATTATTGATAAAATCCGCGCTATAACTACTGTAATTAGGAAACGACTGGAAAAGAAAAAATCAACGAAGACTAATTATTCTGTCGAGTAAGTGCACCCAACAAACGAACGCGTCAATCCGCGCTTCGAGTCGGTTGGTTAATGAGCGCTTTCGTTTTATACAAAACGACGGTAACCGGAGAGGCGAACGCTGGCTTTCGCGCCCACCGCAGTTGCACAAGCGTGATACAACAATTAGTTGCAAATCTCGCGCGCTGGACTTTCTAAATTCATGTTATACGAATTGGACGATAAACCGCGACGCAATAAACTGTACGTATCGCGTGCAATGTAAGTAACGGTCAACTGCACGTTTTTCTGTGCGTTTCATCTCTGAGAGATGCATGCAGATATAAGCGCATTAACCGCGTGGCAACAATCCGCGCGAGATAAAAAGCAGCTTGGCTCTCTCGCGTATAAATGTATTTGTGCACGAACCGCTTCTGAAAACCGTGACGCGCATGAGGGGATCGCGATCGCGTATAGTTGCGCAAGGAAATCCGATCGTCTCGGTCACGTAATGGACTCGCGAAGAAAAGTGCTGGGCATTAAGGGAGACAAACGACGGTGACGTGGCGATTTGACCCACAGAGGTGCAAGAAATAATATAGCTGCGGAATCGAGGCCGCAACAGACGTAATGACAGTTCGGGTGAGTAAATTAACCTGCAGTGACGGCATCGACCACATAGCGGGCCGCTCAGAAAGGATTTTTTGTACTTCTTAATGAGTGTTTGGCGAGGCGATTAATACCATCGGATAAAGCGATCGACTGCGGTCGGTGCAGGCGACGATATTAATATCGTTGACATACCAATAAATAATGTCTCATGAAGAAAGCTGTTGATTTGTAGTAAGTTAAACTTCTGCAATCTTTTGTGGTATAACAGAACTAAATTTTTTCATTTTCGATCAAATTTTAATTTTCAAATAAAGATTTTAACGTTTAAGTTAAAAAATTATTTATAGAATATATTGTTCTACTAATGTAGACTATATTATTCACCTTAACGTAAAATGTATAAAGTCAAGAAAATAATTTGGTTTACAAAAAGAAAATTCGACTTTACTCATTTATATCCACCCTTGTATGTATTTAGTAATATAATACACTGAAAAAAGGATTTTACTAATGTTTCTAAATATTTAATACAGATCTGAAACTAATTTTCGTGGACCGTCAATATAATTATGTAGGAAACCCAAGCATGATGAGCAATGCCACAAAACGTTTTGACAGTTTCGCAATTAGTCTGAGCGTCCTACATAATTAATTTGATGGTCCAACAAAATTATTTTCACATTTATATCTAGCTAAATTTCAGATCATCCTTTTCGTATGGAGATGTAAAAAGTAATCACGAATTTCCCCACATTTTTTTGAAAACCTGAAACAGTAAAAAAAACTTGGGCTAGACAAAAAACCCAGAATGCTGTAGATGGAAAAAGATAATCACAAATGAAGGGTTAAATTAACAAAACAAATTTGGCGAGGGAAAAATGAGGCGCTCTCAGAACTATGTAACTCGTTTAGACAGGTCGGTCTCTGTATTCGTTAAGATATCGGTTTGAGTTCGAAGAAGAACGCTTCTAATTGCTCCATAGATACGATAGTATTGCAATTCTACCCGGTGATTTTGCGCGCCAAAGGACGACGAAGTCGCGCGCAAGAAATTGAGTACCGTTTCAGCTCGTTCGTGACGGCTTCGTCGAAATGGCAATGGAACAAGACAATCCATAACGTGCGCGCACGTCAGAGACACAATTTATCGCGACCTAACAGGTAGCCGACGGCAACAATTTTCAATTAGTTCCATCCGAGTAACATCGCGCGGGCGAGTTCATCCTCTCGGGAGAGAATTTTCTCTTCCGTTCCGTAAATCCCCAATAAAACCGTTAACAAAAATCACGATGACCCACGTCACGGCTGCGATCGTCGCCGATAGCGTACTCTATGAATTTATGCGAATACCCGATAAATGCGCGTCGACGCGCCGCGGCACGATTTTTCTCCTTAACAATGGTCAATAAAATCCTACGTACGAGACCCGCGCGCACATTGTGCCCGGGTGATAACAGTCGACGAATCGTGCGAACTATTCCTGATCGCGTCATCGGCGAGGTTTTTTTTTATCTTACGCGCATGTTCAGCTCTCGCACCTTCCCGAACAAAGGCGCGAGCAGAGGCACGAAGTTCCGCATTCACGAATGCTGATTAACAATCTCTCATCGTAACTTCTTTCTTCCTGAAATTCTTCGTAAAAAAAACTATCAAACATCATCAAGTGTTGCCAAAAGGCGCCAAGTCAAAAAGTATCAGAACCCACACACACGTCAAATCCACACAGCATAAAATATTTCAGAAATTTTTATGAAATATTTTTCAAATATATAATAAATACGTCGAAAATATCAGAGTTTTTAAAATATTCTTTTTCTTATAATAGATTTGATAGCACAAGTTTTTAAATATTTTTGTGAAATATGTATTTTATTGAAATATTTGAAAAAAAAAAAAAAATGATTCATATAAATCTTTCACGCTGCGTGAAAAAGTTTGTCGAGAGGAGGGGAATTGAAAAATCTCGAGATGAGATAAACACTACTTTCATCAATCAGGCTTCTCGCACAGGACGTAGTACAAACGGCGTGGATGCGGCTCTTTTATATATACGACCGATGCGACAGGGACAAAAGTAGAACTAAACTGTAAACGGTACTTCATGCTGCGTCCAATAAGTCATGCACTGAATAATGTCACGTACGAACGCATACAGATGTAAGGCTTATAGGTATCGCGAGGCGGAAAGGCTGGGCCGATCGCGAATGCGAGCGGATTAATAGGCAATAAATTCAAGCGCAGGACCGGTTAATTATCCAAGTCATCTGCGGGGCCCGCGGGATGACGTATCGCCCAGCTACGATCAATACGCGAGGATCTCTCGCTCTCGTCCCTTCCAACGATCGTGTTGTAACTTACCTCATGAGATACGGGGTTGTTTTTATTACGGCCGGTGTTGGATGCGTTATTAATGGAGGAGAGCGTAGTGAGAGTCGCCGTGCCGACGCCACCGACGGTTTTCTCGCTGACCTTCGTACCAGCACCGCCGACATCCTTGTGCAATGTTCCAGGACTCTGTAATCAGGAATAGAACGTTGGTCGTTGGTCGTAGCGAGCTGAGACGCAGTTGTCTAAATAATCGAATTTTCAGACACAATTAAATGACACGGAAAGAAATACTTTTGTACTAAGAATTTAAAAATTTAGTTGAATACCTATTAGACTATCGAAATAATTGTGTAGAAAATATTTTGCAAAACATTGTTCATCATGCTTAAATTTCCATTTTAACAGTTCAATAAAATTATTTTCATTTATATCTATCTCAATTTTTAGATTTCAACAAAATCATTCTTTCCGTGAATGTAATAACACAAGTAATTTATTACATTGGCTAACACCTTTATCATAAAAGCTTTATTATAAAAATACTAAAATATATCAGTATCTAAATATAAGCTGATGTGCATAATCGATTCTTATATTTAAGACCGTCTTAAGTATAGATGTCATAAATCAAAACAGAGCCGTGTATATTAGTTAAAGACATTACTTGACGGTTTTGAAATAAGAACGGACTATAAATAGCGTCCATAGTCATCTTTTCACGATATATGTATATTCCTCGTTTCGAAGTCTTCGTTGATGTAGAATTATCTATTCGCGCTTGAAAAAACAATTATCAATTAACTGACCTACATCTTTGCTGGTGTAATAATAAGGCTCGCCGTGAGTGACAATAAAAGCTAATAATTTTCTTCGTCGCTTAATTATTTCGATATTCCGCTCGTTAATGGCGCGCGGTCTCTTTTTGACTCGCCCATTTTCGCCTACTGCAGCGCATATATCCTCGAGTCCTCCCGTTTGCCTTTCTCGTCCACAGAGCAGACACGCGATTTAGCAATCGGAGACAAAGCGTTAACGTGGGTGGCTTCGAGCGCAAGCCGAGCCCGCGCGTCGGTGTTGACGGGACACGTGTGCGGATGCGCATCGTTGCACGTGTGCGTGCCATGAGTGCACGTCCACGATATGCAGGCGATAAGTGCTCCGAAGAAATGACGCCGCGGGCGATTACGATTCCGATGCTGCGCTCTCATTCATTGTGCGATCCTCTTCGATGAAATCACAACTGCAATGTTTGATAGTTAAGACCCGATGATAAATATCCTCTGCAGCTTTGTTTTCTCTTAGAAAGCTATTTTTCACACGGAAAGAACAGTTTTGCTCAAGTATAAAAATTTAACTAGATGCAGATCAAGGTATGTATTATGAAACTGTTTCGAATGAAATTCGATCGGAATTTTCCGTTTTCCCCAAAAAACACAATAGAAATTTAGGTAATAATTGAATAATTTCGATCGGAATCCATTCTGAATAATTCCATCAAAATAATTACGTAGAATGTTCAAGTTGATTGTCATTTGTCAAATGTCAATACTCTTTTTACGGTATATTATTCGCTATACTTGAACATAATTATAAATACCTTATTTTAAACATTATTTCAATAGTCGAACAAAATTATTTTCAGACCTGTATTATTCAGCTAAACGTTTAGACACGTCAGAAGTTTTGCGTAGAAATGTTTTCCGTGTAAAAATTGATCTGTTTCAATTGTAATTATACGTTTAAGTGAGATTAATATCATTCCCGTATTATTTCGAAATTGTATAGTGTTCGATTCAAGGAGGCAGATAAATAATGCTCGATGCGGATAAATAATGCAGTTTTCGTGGGCGGAACGGAATCAGGCTAGTGGAACGAAGGAGCGAAAAAAATATCGATGCGCCGCATCGCGGATGTATTTTTCCGCATAAATACAGCACGTTTGACGAACAGAAAATCTACAGTCGTCTCGGTGCATCAGAGAACAATCGGACGGCAGAGACGATTTTGCTTTGGAAAACAATGTAAGAATAATTAAAGCTCGTCTCGTTAGTGTCGGACAATGGAGCGCGATAGATTCGCCTCGCTGCAAATGTGGAACGATGCGCATGCAAAGGCATATCGTTGCATATGGTGCATCCAATGCTGCACTGATAATCGAAGTCATGAGACCTATTTTTTATTTCTGCATTAAACTGCATCAGATCTCTCCTTCTCGCTTTTGTCAAATATCAAATGCATACTATCTATCTGTCTTTAAATTCCAAAGCGCTAATTCAACACAGAAAATATCTTTAGATCATTGCACAAAACTTTAAAAGATGAAGAATTCTGAACAATGTGCGTATATATACATTCTCATATCTTATTTATTCCGAATTGAATCGCCAAGAAATCTTTTTCTGGCCTTACAAAAAGAGCGTTAGCTGCTACGTAGCCACGATGAGAATTAACTGTAAGCTTATAACGGTTCAAAGGCGGCGCACTCATTACAGACGATTTATAATTCGCCATTGGGATCTATGGAACGTTTACAAACGGTGCAGTGACCCTGCGGCTAATGCGCAGTGACAGAAATCGATGTATTCTTAGGCCGGTGAGTCCGCCCCTAATTATACGCGAGTCTATAATTATATATTGATGTTTAATTAGAGGGCGACCCTGGATCCGGAAGAAAAAAATCTTTACATAAGGAACGCGGTCGAGAACCTACGCGAATCTCATCAAACACGTTGATGGGGAGACCATCTCGTACCTACTTACTTCATCGGCTGCACTCAACAATGGAAAATAGGTCTAACAGCCTAGACTTCCATTTAGGTAGGTACTGGAGTCGAGATTTATGTCGCTGAGGCAAACTCTAATTAGCGAACTCTCGACTATGCTATATATACTACCCTGAATTGAAGTCAATAGGATTTTAAACGTGTACGCTAATCTAATCTCAAGATACATTTTTGTATACAATTCATATAAACAATTTTATTACTACAATATTGTCGCATCTGGGAAAAAAAAGTGGAAAGTATAAACTAAGCTGGAGCCAACATTCACGCTCACGTATATAGCAGTCGTGAAATGAGCAAGACCTGTTTATCACGTAACACAAGCTTCATTTAAACGGAATACAGGGAGCGGTAATCAGAAACCGAAACCGTCACACATCCGTAAGCGGTGATAACTCCAACAAGACTCTCTTGTCGTTGTTCGCTCGCAGGCGGCGGTTCAGTGGTAGGGATTAATGTTTTCTATCTTAAATTCTCGATTTTTTTCTGATTTAACAAATGGAACTTTATGGAAAAATATTATTACTTTTCATCAACAATATGAAATTTTCATCTTTCATAACATAAGTCATCAAACTTTAGTGTTTTTTTTTATATCCCCTTCCTCGAACTGTATACAATTTTAAAAAAAATTGTTTACACTTGTAAAAGCTTTAACAACGAATTTTTATTGTTACAAGAATGGTATTGTGTTATATTTATTTTTTACAGATTTAAATTTATCTACTAAAATTATTACAATAAAAGAATAGACTATCTTTAAAGTTTAACATTGTCAGCAGAAGGTTAAGTTTAAAACAAGCAACAAATATATACGTATTACATGGTCGTTTGACTTTATCTCTGCAAGTCATTTTAATACTAAATGTGCAGATCAGAATACGAATCTATGACATAGGCGGAACAGGAAGTCACCGAGAAACGAGAGAGGGAAGCAATGCAATAAGTTCGTTAGATCTGCCTGTTCGTACCATTGTCAATGTCACATCGGTGGATAACCTGGTGTCACTGTATGAATGGCAGGTCAACGCACGTATCTACGCAACGGTACGTGTTTCTTCTACAAAATCGATAAGAGTATACATAGTCAAAACATGTCGATTACACGCGGTAACATTTGTTCATAACTTCTTTTCTAACGGACGGTGAAAATGCGAGCATAAGAGAACGCTTGAAAAGAAAATTGTTAAGGAAAGTCATATGCCTATGTTCGCCAATCAATGTTCCTACAACAGTAAAACTTTCTTTCCAACGTGCTCAGAATTATCCGTTAATTAAAAACGTTTTCTCACGATGTATTCATAATTATTATTAAAGACGTGATAAATCATGCACAGAATTACCGTCAAGATATTATATTATAGTGTTAATATGAGTTTTTTAGCAACTTATATTTCTTTAAATTAGGTTCTCCTCTTCGTCACTTCGTGATTAATTCGCTCGACAGATGGTCGAATTTTCCGAATCTGCGATTACGGGAAAGCGTTGATACTTGAGATGGAGTCTCTTTACCTTAGGTTAGCCTTAGTAGATGAAAAGGGGTCGAAGAACGTGAATGGCAGAAGTTCGACCCTTAATAAAAAGGATCACAAACGGATCGTAGTAAAAAGTGTAAAAGAGAATTGTGTGGGTAGAGGAATAGAGAAACAGAAAGGCGTAAAAAGGGGAAAGCTTAAATTTCAGTAACTGAATGCGTGAGAAGTACCAGGACCCGCTAGTTCTATTTAAATTATCTGTATAATGCATAACTGATGTAGTCCCCATAGAGGGAGAGATGACGTCACAAAACCTCATAGAAGATCCTTTTATGACTAACAGAAAGCGTATGAAAGAGGGATAAATTTCGGATTTTACTGTATATCATAACGAAAGAAAAAGAGACAGAGAGATGTGAAATGTCCTACTTTAAATCACTCGCGAGGTGAATAACAGTGAATAAGAATTACTACCTTATTGTTTAAAAAAAAATGAAGAAGATCACTCCAAAATCTCTCGGGTCTCTAATACAAATCTCTCACTTTTACATATATCATATATGTATATTTAAGAAGAAAGCGAAGTTTATATGACTAAAAAGAATTGAGAAATTAGTTGATCGTGATTTTATCTGAACATGTCGCAAGGCAAAATTCGTCCGCGTATAAATAGCAGAGAGAAGAAGGGAAAAAAGAGATATGATAAAGTTGGACACTCTCTCATCCACCCAGCGCGGCACCCTATCATTACGCTCGCTCAGAGGCAAACCTTAATCTCGGGACTGGTGTGGACGTCGTGGCTCTCGATTTTTCTCGAGGCACCTGGCTGCACGCGGGCTGGGCCCGGCACACCTAGCGATAGCGGCAGGTGAGCAGATTTGCCTCCCAAACCTGCACACAAGAAGATCGGCTGCGCACCCGCTCGTTG